CGCCATTGGCTCGCATGACGAGACCTCTGCCATTGGTGCTAGTAGCCTGGGCGATCTTTCGGATATGTCCGAAGAAGAAGGGATGCCTGAAGACGAAGACGAGGAAGAAGACGACGAGGAACCTGAGAGCAGCGATTCTTCACTTGATGATAGTGCATTGAGTCCTAGTGCTCAACTGGAGCGGGATGAAGCGCATCGTTCGCGAGATCAGAAACGCCTCCAGCTTGACCTCTCGAAGCATCGTGAAATGCTAAACGACAGCCAAAAAATGAACCAGAGCTTAAGAAAGTGCTTAGGATGGACAGAGCAGCTGATTAAAGACGGCCAGAAGGCGCTGGAGTACAAAGTCAACGTTAGCGATGTCAAGCTGGGCGGCCGTGTACTCATTTCAGAAGATGACAACGAAGTCACTGGCGCTGAGGAATCCAGGGGTCTTCTGAGTCCTTGGAATCCACTGCAAAATACCATGGACGCGTTAGATTCGCCATTCTTCCCAGAGACTAGCCGCGTAGTTGATCGTGACAGCGGGGTGCATTTTGATGGATCAGAACACATCCGGCGGAGCAACAAAGATTCTACGGCAACGTCTTCCAGTGTAGACAGCCAAGGTAAATCTACCAGCCCCGTCAAAGACTTTCGTCCCAAGCTCCCTGGCCAGTGGGTATCATACCGAGACTCAAGCCTGAAGCCTCAAGAGGATCTCGCACCACTCGGCTCTCCCTTTGAAGAGCGCATCAGGCATCTCCACGCCTCCATCGATGCTTTGGAAGCATCGTAAAGAAAACCCCGATTATCCATTACCTATTTTTCTTCTTTTGTCACTGCGCATAGACGCATACATACTCGATTACATTTTTGTTGCATTCAAACTTGGCGTTTATCAACTAGAAAGGATACAGGTCTGTATTACCCCCCTTGGCGTAAATTGGAATATCACGTCGAATGCGATTTCGACGTCCTACGACCGTTTCCTTTGTTTTGCTTTTATTCTGTTGCACCTATACGGCCGCCCCCAAGCATACTATTCTACTCTTCCTCCATTCTGTTTCGCGAGAAAGACAAAAACATTCGATCCGCAGGGGTTCCTTTCTCTTTTTTTTTCTTTTTGGTTTTCTCTCTGCCCGTCTCTCTTCGCCCGCCTTTAATGTCTGAAATACGGCCTGCTCATTATTATCTTTTGCTCGTTCATCCAAAATACATCAGCATAGACTCGAGACCATGTTCACGCGGAGATGGACGGAAAGAAGAAAGGGAAAAAAAAGGGGGCGGCGAAGAAGATGACGAGCGTCGTCATCTTCGTTTGTTTGTTGCATATTTTTTGGTCTATAAATAGGCGCGCGCCTCCGCCGTGCTTTTTTGCTTGGCTTCGAAACTTTGTGTGTTGCGGTTTTATGATACCCCCTACTCTCCTCTGCAGTGATGATCTTATTATGGATCTCAGAACCCCTCCCCACATTTTTTTTTTTTATTCTTTTTGATTTTAGGCAAATATATAGGTTTGGGGAAATACAAAGTTTTGTGCATACAATTGGGTTATTCATGTGTCATGTTTGAAACAAGCAAGGCTTACTATTCTCAGTCGACGTCACTAAGGTGCACGTGTGCAACTAGGGATCATAGTGTCATTCTCATTCCACGTTCAGCTAGTATAACGTCTATCTTACATCCACATGAAATATGGGGCCAGAATAGCTGGCCTGATCTATGAGTATACCCCAAAAAAAACAAGACCAAAATTGATCCAATGAGACCAACGATACCTCCCCATACACTTTGAACAATGAAGCAGAAAACAAGGAAAAGGCCAGGCGGAGCAAAGCCTAAGCCCAGTAACCGAGAAGAGCCATCAAACCTAGTCAAAATAATCAGCAAACTGCCGTGCTCAATTTCAAACAAAGGTAAAACTTACCAGCACCAAGCGTCATCAGGCCAAACGCCTTGAGCGTCCGACTAACAGGCCCATTCTGCATGTACGGGCTAAACATGAACTCATGCGCCATGAGCTCCACCAGGCCGGTATAAATCAAGATACCCGCACTGATAGAATCAAAAATGCCGTTGGAGAGAAGCGTGGTACGGGACTCTGGAGCAAAGGATTGACGGACACCCAGACCAATGGCAATGGCAATCGGGGTGGAGAGACCGTAGCCAACGCCGAGAAAGTAAGGGGTCCAGCGCTTGGAAGCGGGCCACGAGACTTCGGCGAGACGGGAGCCCAGACCGAGGCCCTCGAACATTTGGTGAAAGACTAGCACGATGTAGAGCGTGGTGAATTCGTCGCCCGCGACGGCAAGGGTGAGTCCGATGAAGATGGAGTGGAAAATGACGCCGAATTCGAGGATGAAGACGGCGGTGAGCTGGGCGGCGTAGTCGTTGGGGACGAAACTGTGGTGCTCGTGGTCGTCGGACTTGTACTCGCCGCTGGCATTATGTTGGCGCTGGTGGCCGAGGTGGTCGTTGCCACGGATGCTAGGGTTGCGAGCGGCGGCTTCGATGTCGTGGCCTTTGCTCTCTTCCACGCTGTTGTCGCTACCGGCCTTGGATTGCGGGATGGCTGCGTGAGTGTGGCTGGCGTCGTGTTGGTGGCCGCTGCCAAAGTTGCCGTAGCGCATTGTCATGAGCTCGAGGAAGAACATGAGAAAGATGGTCATAAGGGCGATGCCTTCTGGCCAAGGGTACTTGGCGATGACACCAGTCAAGCATGCGTTGCCTAGTGCTTCGTTTGCTGGTGCAAGAAGGTGGATAAATGCAGTCGCAATGATGACTCCGGATCCGAAGTATTTTGCGATGAAGAAGACCCAGTTTGGTACCAGCTTGTGTCTACTACGTTTTGCCATCACTGGGAAAACGGCACCTGCATATCGTTAGCGTTGTTGGACTTGCAAACATTCTTGACAAACTGACCAAAGGTAGATGCCACAAGGATGACGAAAATGGACGAAACGCGGACACCCATGCGCCCGTCATATTCGTTGGAGCCTTCACAGGAAGACATAGTGCCGTGTTTTGGATGCTGAAAGAGGCTTGAGATGCGGCCGTCCAAATAGATAAATAAGTGTTAGGAGAGATGGGTCGGAGAACGGAGCGAGAAAGCCACCAAAAAAATCCAATGTACTCGAACTGGAGTGGTTGCCAGTGACCAAAAATTGTCGCGAGGGTCCAGGAAAGCGAGATGAGGTCCAAAAAGGTAGCCGTAGATGAGCTTGGTTATGCACCAAGGCTCGGTAATGGCTGGGCAATGTATATCTTGACGGTCTTTGGAAGCGACAAGCACTATATATGAATTCTGGTTGGAAAACCAAGCACCGTGATGGCGATACGAAGATGCTTGAGGTCTCTTATCAAGGCTTGGTAGCTGGAGAAACGCGGCACCGAGGCGGACCTCAATACCGTAAGTACGCAAACGTGAGGACCTTGATGGGCCGCTAGGGAGAGAAGAATGCCATTCAAACACCATGGACGCGCCGCTGTGGCGTCGAGCATCCCACGCAATTCATGGGCGCGCTGCCTTCAATCTCTTCCGAGATACGTAAAAAGGTTATCATGGTACTGTGGGAGTCAGAACTTTCCTGGCGCAACGTGCGCAAGGACCCTGATTAGATGGTGGTGAGGAAAGTGGCGCAGCCATACCCTCCAGCCACAGCGAGGTAGCCACGATGTTAGTCAGCAACCATGCTATTTCTGTATTTTTGGAGATGGCTCAACAGGCCCACTCCTGGAACAGATTTTTATACTCGTGAACCTTCTCCGCCGGCGCCCCCACATTCGGCTCTCGCACCGAGAAGGCGGAGCGAACAGCAGGACATTAGAGTGAGTACTATTTTGGAGTCGCCATGCTGCTGGTTTGCATATTGTTTGTTCGTTGCAGTAACGAACATTGCTGTTGAACACGTACATGGGACATGGCGGTGCTTTGCGTCAATGTATGCAGATGCATACGTGCGGTTTGTGGCCGATGTTGATCTGTGTGGCCAAAGGGGATCCCAGTGGAAATGTACTCCTCTTTTGATGCATCTACGCGGCAGCCTTGTTTCCTTTTTGTTTGCGGCATCGTCGGAAAGACCGGAGTCTGGCGGGTGGATGTGCAGATGGTTCGAGGTCTAGGGCAAGATGGGATGGGAGGAGGTTGATGGTATACCAGGGTACCCGCATTTCGGGGCTTGCTCGGCGCTTCTGGTTGAGTAGCGCTCACATGTAGACAATGTACATGGAGTATCGAACAAATCACACCACGTCGAGCCAGCGCGAGGAGCAGCAACAGTACATTGGCAATCGGGGGAGACTGCGGGGATTGCGACGACTAGTAGGCTGGTGGCCAGGACAGGCCTTGCAAGTCACGACGACGGCACTTGGGCGGCGATGGCAGGGCGCAAGGAAGCATCGAGGCGATCGAGGGCGGACGTTGAGACGATTGGCAAGGCAGAGTACGCAGGCTCATCGAAAAGTTAATCCCCATCGGCGGTACATGAAACCGGTTTGGTGAGGGGGCATGGACACCCGGGCAACACAGACAATGCGCTGTGGGGTAACATGGCTGCGCTGCTTGGCGGCATGCTGCATCGATGATGTACCAAAGTATACCTGCTGTATGGGCGGCGGGTGAGACAGAGGGCACCGTAGGCTGCTGGCTGTCTGGCCATGCTGTGGCAGCTGTCGAGGCTGTTGGCGGGCGCTGTCGTTGCCAATGGCTGGCCAACGTGTCGAGCACCGCCTACTTGCGTGCCACTGCTAGCAGCCGGGCGATGGCGAGCGTCTGCGTCTTTGGCCGCCAGCCAGCCCCTCATGCCAGACGTAGAGATGCAAGGCTGGTGTTCGCGCATCCCTGTGCACACAACCCGCACAGAGCGGGAGCCAATCGTAGCGGCCCACCGTGAGGGGCGATGACGTCTCGACTCCCGATTAGGACAGCTTCTGCCGCAGCTCCAACAGGTGACCGTGTAGCTGCCTGCCTTCTCCTCTTTATAACTCTGCCTCATCTCTTGCCGTCGCTCAATCCTACTGTCCTCTCACCCACCGGCCATCCTCCACCACAGACAGGTTTCTGTGCACTTGTCCAATTCCAATCCCACCTCCAACGACCAAGATCACCGTCCATCATGATCGTCGACAAGTTTGAGGAAGTCTTGCAGACGGCAGCCCTTCCGGCTGCTGCCTCTGTTGCACCCATCCCCTCTGTCGTTCCTGGAAGCGAGCCTATCTACCAGGTTGCCGGTGATGCTGGACAGAAGGTCCTCTGGGTTGTCTTTGCCATCATGCTGGTTGCCTCTGGTGCTTTCACTCTCATGTCATGGAATGTCCCCTTGGTACGTTGCAACCCGTCAGACTAGCCTTGGACGACGGCCTCGATTGCCGTGCCACATCAGCAATTGGGAGCACTGCAGAGCTACAGGTTCAGCTCTTCATCAGCATCATGTCTAACACACACACAGAACAAGCGTCTCTACCATGTCGTCACCACCATCATCACCCTGACTGCTGCCCTCTCATACTTCGCCATGGCCACCGCCCACGGTGTTACTCTGTCCAAGATTGTTGAGCGTGAGCAGCACGACCACGTTCCCGACACCTTCACCGTCACCTACCGTGAGGTCTACTGGGCCCGTTACGTCGACTGGGTCATCACCACTCCTCTCCTGCTCCTCGACCTTGGTCTCCTTGCTGGCATGGCCGGTGGACACCTGATCATGATGATTGTTGCCGATGTCTTCATGGTTCTGACCGGTCTCTTCGCTGCTTTCGGCTCCGAGGACACTCCTCAGAAGTGGGGCTGGTACACCATCTCCTGCATTTCCTTCATCTTTGTCTTCTGGCACTTGGGTCTCAACGGTGGAGCCAACGCCAGCGCCAAGGGCGAGAAGCTCCGCGGCTTCTTTGTCTCCATCGCTGTCTACACCGCCATCCTCTGGACTGCCTACCCCATGTAAGTGCCTGCTGTCCTGTTGAAGCATCCCGCTCTATACTAATACTATACAGTGTCTGGGGTGTTGCCGATGGTGCCCGCAAGGTCAGTGTTGACACTGAGATCATTGTCTACGCCATTCTCGACGTTCTCGCCAAGGCTGTCTTCGGTGCCTGGCTCCTCATTGTCCACGCCAACATGCGCGAGAGCGATGCTGAGCTCAACGGCTTCTGGGCCAACGGCCTCAGCCGCGATGGTGCTATCCGCATCGGCGAGGATGACGGTGCCTAAGCGCATACTGTCAATCCTAGATACTTGAAGCAACTCCCATCAAATTGCCTAGACAAGCGTGGTTCGCCTCAAGTGCAAGTCCATGAGGGCCTGAACCAGGTTCGATGATCCAAAAAATATCTCGACGGTACATGTTCCTATTCAAATTCTTTTCGATAGCATCTCTCTTTAGTAGTCAAGCCTGTCATCAACGGAGTCGGAGGCTCGCGGATAATCATGGGACGGGTAGTTTATAGCGCGTTCTGTCCATATTTAATGAGAAAATGATTTGGTCTAATGTGCTGTGGCTGATGCCGCTTTGACTTGATGGTGATGTCTACGCTGCTGTTGGTGTTGCCATGGTACGGATATGGGGGGTTTACCATGTGATTGTTGCAAAGCACGTTGCGGTAAGCCTGCTCCAAGTGATGGTCGGGTCCCAGGCAGCAGAGACATGTATAGCTAGCCGGACACAACATGTTGCCTCAGCATTGCACAGGGCGTCTAGCAAGTGGTTACAGACGTTACAGACATGTGTGCACGGGAAGCTAGAGACTGGGCCAAAGCATTGACTTCTTTTCTTCTTCTTCATTTCCTTCGGTTTGACACCAGAAGGGAGTGTTTCTATTTCCTCGCGCGGCAAGGCAAGTCGAAACAGGGAGCGGGATGTGGATGCTGGCTAGCCTGTTACATGTGCCACGCGCATTGCGAGGGTTGATCAGAAGCCGTCCCCAAACGGCATGCCTGATGCATGCGCATACTGGCCCCCCCACGTCACTCGTCGAGAGTGAGTGCCTCAAAAGCAAAAGACCAAGTCGCATGGGCATGCAATCCCCATTGCCTCGGTGCACGGACATGGCCGTAGTCAGCCGCAGCGAAGAGGACGGCGGTGGGATGGCACCACGGTGGTCTCAGTCTCACTCGACGCAAGATGACGGTAGGCGCCTGACCCTGGCCTGGTGTTGGGCAGTGTGGATATGCAGGGGTCAAGCAGGCGGCTGCCCCGCAACCAAGGCCGCGGGCAGCAAGCTACCTCTCCCCTCTCTTGTGGCTGGCCTGCGAGCTCCCCTTTTAAGTACCCCGACAGCTGCAGAGCCTTTTGATCGCCTGCCTCTGCATTCCCCACTGCCCATACTACAATATTCACAATCACACCACCAAATTATCCACAACCCCCCACCGTCTGAAAGTCGCTAGTCACTCTGACATCATCACATCACCACTACCATCACCATCATGGCATCCGAGAACACCGACTTTGTTGACGAGACGTCCATCTCGCCTGTTCGCTCCTCGGAAAGGCGCAACAGTCTGGAGAAGCACCTGCAGCACCGTCCAGAACCCCAGGACCTCAAGAACAGGCACATTCTGCTAGACACCACAACAGCTCCGTATGCCTCTCCCCGCATCCCCACTACTCCACGCTAAGCTCAATTGCGCTTGGACATAATAGCTAACATGCGCCTGATCCACAGCGCCCTCCAAGCCAAAGCCCTCGAACTCGAGCGACAGCGCGCAACAGACAACCTCAAGCGCGGCCTCAACGCCCGTCCCGAGCGAGCCGAGCTCGTCGACCGCAACATCCTGCCCAACTCGACAGCAGCGCCTGCCCTCCAGGGCCACCAGAAGGAGCTCGAAATGCACATGCGGGCTGATAGCCTGGAGAAGGGCCTCCAGAACAGGCCAAGTCCGGAAGAGCTGGTCAAGAAGGGTATTCTTGACGAGGACGAGAATCCCGTCAAGGACATTGCTTAAGCGCTGCTTGCACGTGTTTCTCCTTGGGGGCAGATTCCCTTGATGCTGTCTCTCTAGGATGATGTATCCGGCGTTGATGGTTTTTTTGTGAAATTTTGAACATGATGTTAGGCTAAGCTCATCATTTAGCTTGTATCGTTCAAGTGTACATGAGCACACTTGCAACATTTTTTTTTTTTTTGCAATCTTCACGTTGTCTTCTTGGCCCACTGTGAGTCTTTAAAGCACATCAGTAAAAAATTCATGAGGTACTCAATCAGCATGGAGCTGTTTTTGCAAGGGATAGCACGAAGCCAACAACTTGATTGTTATATCCTTATGTCAAACAGCAATAACCAAATAATGCTTCAAACTCGAAACACTTATTAAACATCAATCATGCGCCCATCTGTTTATCGTTGGACCTTCTCTTCTTGGACAATGGTAGAGCTCTTGTCCATCGAGCCACGCACGTGGCGCTCGCCATCGGCCTCGATGTTCTTGACCAGCTCCGTAACACCAAACAGGTCGTCCATCTTCTCGAGCGACAATCCCTTGGTCTCAGGCACGAAGAACCATACGAAAATGAACATGCTGAAACAGAAGGATCCGTAGAGGAGGAAGCATCTGACAACTGGGTTAGCACAGGAATAATTTATAACGACAGAAGGGAAAAAACGTACCCATAGCCACCCTCGCCCATAGTAGCAATCATGTTAGGCGTAGCACGAGCAACAACGAAGTTGAACAGCCATTGGACAGCCGCAGCAATAGCGACATTGAGCGATCGAAGACGAGCAGTGGGGATCTCAGAGACATAGATCCAGCACACGGGGCCCCAGCCGAACTGGAAGAAGCAGGCGTAAAGGAAGACACAGACAAGCGCGAAGTATCCAGCACCAGGAACAGACTGGCCGGCGACGGGCGGGTCGATGCGCATGTAGAGACCAATGTAGAACATAGCCATACCCTGAGCAATCGAAGTCCAGAGAAGCGAGCGACGGCGACCAAGCGAGTCAGCAGCGAAGATGAGGAAAGCAAGACATCCGACCATCTTGACAATACCGTAGATTCCCGTAGCGAAGAGCTTGTTCTCGTTACCCTCGAGACCAAGCGCCTTGAAGATTTGCGGGGCATAGTAGTTGATTGCGTTTGTGCCCGTCATCTGCTGGCAGACCATGAGACCAATGGAGATGAGAGCGCGTTTGCGGTTACCGGGGATGGTAAACATTTCCTTGAGGAGATCCTTCATGGTTGCTCCGGCAATCAGCATGCGCTCGTGCTCGAGCTGATCGGAAATGTCCTTGATTTCGTCCTGGACGTAAGGGTGCGAGAGAGGTAGGTTGCGGACACGTGCCAGGACAGTGGTGGCTTGTTCCCACTTATCTTGCTTGGCGAGGAAACGGGGAGATTCTTTGTTCATGGCCATGCAACCGACGAGGAGGACGGCAGGAAGTGCTTGCATGGCGAGCGGGACAATGTAGACTTGGGCGCCACCAGAGAGGTGCAGGAGCGACCCGTAGTTTACCCAGAAGGCGAGCGAGATTCCAGTGGCAATGAAGAGTTGGTAGAGACCGGTAAGACCTCCACGGATACCACGGGGAGCGTTTTCAGAAATGTATAGAGGGACGACCATGGATGCGCCTCCGACACCAAGACCAGCGATGAATCGACCCACGTACATGGCTGCGAGGGAACCCGAGGCAACAGCTTGGATTACACAACCGACAATGGTGATGAGACCAGCTGCTTGGAGTGCGAGCTTACGACCCCAGCGGTCAGCGGCCCAGGAGGCGATGAAGCAACCGAGGAAACATCCAGCTTGAAGGGTCGAAGCAATGTTGGCGCTCAAGTTGGCCTTGCCGACTTTGTCGAGACCCTCAATCTTGTACTTGCTATTCATCCATGTTAGCCTCTTCGACGACACCAAGAAAGCGAATATTGTCGAGCATGGCAACTTACTGTTGGAACTCCGTAAGTTCAAGCACACCTCCAATGGTTCCGATATCGAAACCAAACAACATACCACCGAAGCAGGCAGAACCCGCCATGGCAAAGGCACGCCATCCGTAGATCTGATGGGGATCAGACTTGATGGAGTCGTTCTTGACAATCATGCGGATGAACCTGGCGCCCGCCGATGGGGTAGTGTCGGAGGGATCCATGATGGTGATGGTATGCAACGGTCGTCAATCAGGGCAGATGGTGATATAGACGTCTCGATCTTATCAACCCACACTCTGTTCTGACCCAAGACGTTCAACGCAAACGGGGCCTGTAAGAGGTCAAGAGGAGATCAGCAAAGTCTCCACAGCACAGGGTGAACGATCAAGAAAAACCCCCCGTGAGATGCGTGCATGGCCTCACTATATAAACCAGCACAGAATATGCGGTCCATGCGCTATCCTGGCATCTTTAGCTCGTTCCTCAACACCGGGGTAAAAACAGCGTTGCCAGATGCCGCGGGCTTTGTGCAGAAATCCTTCCTCTTGGACGAGGGAGGGGGGGGCGCGCCCGTTGGTCCATAGGGCACAAACCCCAGACTAACTGTAGGAAACCCCAGACTGCTGGTCCCTCCCCCAGGACCAGATCCCATGGTGGCCCAACACGAGCGACGCCTCCACGCTCCCTTCTAACCGATATCACATATCTTCCCTCCTACCTAGAGACCGAGTAGGCAAGGTGAGGGACCAAAGCTGCATTGGTGTCGTCTGGGCAAACAAGCTTAAGCATCATCAAGTTGCCGTGCAATCCCTCCAAATTGAGGACGCACGGTGATGCTTAGCACTTGGCACGGCGGAAAGCTTGCAGTGGGATTAGTGGATGAAGTGAATGTCCGTCTTGGAACACGCCAAGCCCCCATACTGCACTCGCCTTCCTCTGCCCACTCACACAGACAACCGGGCAGATGGGCGGCTTGCGGAATCAGACTTGTACTAATCAGCGGACACCGAATGCCAAGACGTCGCTGCACCTCTTACTACTAGTGGAAAAGACAATCCGGGGGGAAGACTCCCCACTAATCTCAAAGGCTGGGGTCGAAGTGGCCGTGTCCCGCTCCCCCCCTTGCCGTGTTCGAGGCGCTCAAACCTGACCCCCGCATGCAGAAGACGCTACGGTCCTTTTGTGCATATTAATCCGCGTATTGGAGCGACGAACGCTCCACGACCACACCGACACGTGACGCGTTCGTCGCCACACAGAGTATAGTGTGGGATTGAGCACGTGAGGCCTGTGACTCTGTGTATGGTGGGGCATTATATCGTCAACCCCTCCGTGGCGGGGGGAAAGGATCGTGGAGCAAAAGAGGCGTTCTGTCAGAGGAAAAAACATAGAGAGCTGAGCATCTAGCAGCTACGAAAGTTTATTTTTGTTTCTTGGATTGTTACTACTAGTAGTAATTGTCGGTTTGCAAATTGCACGTGTGTCAAATAGACGCTAGTACTACTACTACAAAGGTGACGAATGAAACACATAAGCGGAAGCAATGTCTAAGCTTTTGTAATCATGAGCAGCCTCTGTGTCCCGTCAGCAGCCAATAAAGGCATGCTTTTCCTCTGTGTTGTACGGTTTTTGAGGTTCTTTGACAGCAAGAGTGGTTTTATTGGCTTGCGTGCCTCCCCTCCCCCCGCCTTTGCCGCATTCGGAGCAGGAACGATGGGCTCTTCAGGCTGTTTAGGCAAAAGTAAGAGTACACTTCGTGACAATGTTCGCGCGAGGTTCCCGAGGTTATCTCTTCCCAACCTACGTGTACCACGTAAGTCGTTAATACATGATTGCTGCTGCTGCTGCTGCTCTCTGAACGCAGTTTCACATACTTAAGCTTCCTCCCACATCTCAACGAAAGCAGCACCGCGTCATTTAGGTGCGGCACGCCACATACATATCTGCATTTAACAGGTGCGTCCAAAACAAGCTTTCTTGTCTTATCGCGCCCAATCCGCGGCTCGCATATTCTGCCGTCTTGGTTGTTTCTGGGCACTGCGGGTACATTTTCCACACGGCAGCCAGCCTGACATCAGCACAGCTCGTGGTAAGCCTGCCTGTACACTTACAGCCAAGGAGATCAGACGACTTGGGTCTGAGTCAAACGCATCATTCTTGCACCCGTGCAAAGGGCGGTTGTTGTACCAAAGCCTCGTTTCCAACGCACGTTTGCGCCACTCACCGCTGTCCTTGGTTTCCCGTTCTTGCAGGAGCTGAAGTTGTCTAGACTTTTGAACCAAAAGGCATCAGCCACTCACGGAAGTGGGACCAAAAAGGGAAGAAGAAGAAGGAAAGCACGTGAGCCCAGTCTTTTACATCTCGTACTGTAGTAGAGTACGGAGACCAAAAAAAACAATAAAAGCGACGGAACAATGAGCGCCACAACGGCAAACAATAACCGGGCCTTTGACCTCCACCCTTTCTCCACGAATCCCTTCAAGTCGCGCAATGATGTCGTGGACGCTGTAGCATCTCTCCTCGACCCCCTTCTCCCCGGTTTTTCTCCTCAAAATGCTTTGATCAAGGTAGGCAGCACCGGCACGCGCTTTGACGAGACGGGCGCTCAGGTCGAGGGCTTTGCGCGTCCGCTATGGGGTCTCGCGCCGCTACTCGCTGGAGGCAGCAAGTACGCTGCTACCGACAAGTTTGTCCAAGGCCTGATTTCCGGGACGGATCCTGAGAGCCCGGAGTTTTGGGGCTACATGGAGGATACCGATCAGCGCATGGTCGAGGCGTGTCCGATTGGCTTTACGTTGGCGGTTGCGAATAAAGAGTTCTGGGAGCCGTTGACGGAGCGACAGAAGAAGAATGTCGAGACGTGGTTGGGGAGCATGAATGATAAGAAGATGCCGGATACGAACTGGTACGATGACCCGATTGTTTTGTTTTTGAATCCATGTTGGTGACCGTTTTGTGGCTGCAATTGATGTTGAGACGTTTGATAGGCTTTGGTTCCGCGTCTTCGCCAACCTGGGACTTGAGAGGAATGGCGCTCAGTGGTCGAAATCACAGCTGGAAAAGGATATCAAGCAGTT